GAAGCGGGCCGTCGAGGACCATCCTTTGGCGAGCCATCGAGTGTGGGTCGATGGCCTTTCACAACTGATTCGGGGTTCACGAGCACACGCCCGTCGCGAGCTGAAGGCCTGTATCTTGGACACGTGCAGGTCCCTGGAGGCCAGCAAGTTACGTGTGTCCCCGATGTCGGTGGTCATGTGTACTGATGTGGCTGATGCGAGATGGGTGGCTCGTGCTGTGCGACAGGCGGGGTACCACATCACGGCCCAGTCCCAGGCTAGCTTCCTTGGAGTGGGCCTCAGTTGCGGAGTTCGGGCTGCTCGTTCCACTCGCAACAAGAGGGACGCCAAACACACGGGCATGAGTTTGAAGATCGGGAGGTTCGCCAAGGCGGCGCGCCGCTACAAGGCCACGCGCCGCCTTGAGCTCCAGGGCGCGCAGTCTGCAGGTACCTACGGCTTCCAGGTGCACGGGATCTTCGGCCAGAGGCTGGTGCAGGCGCGGCGGCGGCTGGGGCTTGCGTGCGCGGCGCCAACGCGGGGCAGATGCCTGACAACGCCGTTGGCGATCCGATCGCCACAGCAGGATCCAGGCGTCAAGCTCCCCGTGCAGTGCCTAGACATGTATTTGTCCATTTGGCGTGACCATCCTGATGTACGGTCAGGAGCATCTCGTATTTGGCAGTCAGTTGTTGAGCAGCTTCGGGGAGTTCCAGAACGGCTTCGCACCAAGTATGTGCGAGGCCCAGTGTCAGCGGCAATTCTACATCTTATAGAGTCGGGATGGTCTGTGTCCTCGGCTACGGGCTGGGGTATCCCAGAACCCCATGAGTTTGCAGGCGATGAGTGGAGATTTGATGATGCGATGTACACTGGAGTGAAGGCCCTGGCCAGACATGCAGGTTTTCTCAAAGATGTTTCCGGTGTGCTGCAGCGTCGGTACTGGCAGCAGGCTAACCAGCATTATTGTGGTGAAGGCCTGCAGGACGGATCCGATGTCGATTCCTATCGTGTTTTGATTCAGCATCTACATAATGTCCCTCAGATTGGCCATCGGCTCAGTGAGGTCATGTTGTCGATAGCAGTTGGCAGCACGTGGCCGCGAGCAAGGAAGAAGGCCGAGATCACACGCTTCGCTGGCACTGACAAGTGCCCTCGTTGCCAGCTTGAGCCTGAGACGCCTCTTCATCGCAGTTGGAGTGCAGTTATAACACCAATAAGGAGGCGTACACCATGACAGAGGATCTAGTGTATCAAGCCACGGTGCAAGCGGAGGCAGAGCCAGCCTTCTGGCTACGGGGATTGCTGCCCTCCCCATGGGTGGCTGTCCCGCCTCCTGCCCGCGTCGAGGCCTGGGTAGTGACAGGTCCTTTTGAGCTGGGTCCGGGGTGCCTCGGACACGGCACGGGCCAAGCTCCGTTGCTGCTACTTGGTGATGCCAGCGGCGGCCCCGACACCGCCATCACCAAGTTTCGCCGCGTCGGCTGTGCCACCGCACTTTTCCACTCGCTGGAGCCCACGGTGTCCATAGCAGGGACCATCAGTGGGCCGCTCTGTGGCGACAGACAGGCTGTCCCCCGCGGCGAGCTACGGAGTCTGTTGCTAGCCGTTTGGGCTACGAGTGGTTTCATCACATATGTAACAGATCAGATTGTGAGCCAGTCATCAAGGGCTGGTATGCCAGACGTTTTGAGTTCCCGAGCGGGCCCGATGAGGACCTGTGGGCCCAGCTCGGACAGCTCATGCAGATTCGTGATTTCAACTCTGTCTTTGTGATCTTCGTGCACTCCCACCTCGGGGGAGCTGAGATCCATGCTGGGGCTGCTCCGAGGTGGGCGGTCACTGGCAACACGATTGTGGATGTTGTTGCAGGAGCTGCAGCCAACGCAGCTCGCTTGCCAGAGTCTCTCCGCCAGCGTATCCACATTCACGAGCGGAGAGCGAGGCTTGTGCGTCTGCGCCTGCTGAGGGCGACGATCGACGCGATGGAGGCCGATGCGGCACCTGGTGCGCAGGAAAAAGCATCATCCTCCTCCGTCCCTCGTCCTCCCTCTGCTGCTGCTCTCTCCCTCTTCTCTACCTCCCACGTTCTCGATGAGAGTGGGAGGAGGTGCACTTGTTGCGGAGGATCGGCCAGCAGGGACGCAGCAACCAAGTGGCGCCAATGTGAACTATAATGGGTCCATCCTTTATAAGCCCCCCCATGGCACGTCTGCGCATAGCGGGTGGGTGGGTGGAGCAATCTCATGCTATGCAGTATCATACACATCTTAAGCTCTGGTATTGTAATTTGTGCGGTTGTTTTGCGTCCGAGGTCCTACGTGAACTTGGCAAGGTCTGTACCAGGCGTGTCACCACACATCGAGCTGTATATCTCGATCGGATTTCGCGTGGTTTATGGCCTAAGGTTTTAAGTGCACGTGAGAAGCAGAGCCGTGGCCGTGTATAGTAATGCCTTCATGTGTAATTCGTCACGTCATGTTGGCACGGTTGACTCTGTCACATGGTCATACTCATACTCCTCCTCCTCCTCCTCCTCCTCCTCCTCCTCCTCCTCCTCCTTCTCCTCCTCCTCCTCCTCCTCCCCTGGCGAAGAGGGAACGCAGCCCATGCGCACGCACTGTGGATGTGTGTCAGCGCAACCAACACCCCAGTGCCAGTCACCGGCCCCCCAAAAGCCGCCGATGCCAAGCGCTAGGCGAGAGCGCACGGCAACCAACAAGGGTACCAACCAGGACTCCTCCTCCTCCTCCTCCTCCTCCTCCTCCTCCTCCTCCTCCTCCTATTCCTCCTCCTTCCTCCTCCTCCTCCTGGAGGCGGCGACTGCCTACGAGGATCTCGTTGGAGGTGTCCGCGTCCAAGCGGACGGCTTGCCCCAACGCGTCCAGCACGAGGGCGTACTGCGCCGCGGCCTCGCCGGTGCCCTCGCCGTCGGCCCACGCTGCGTTCGGCTCGTCGAAGACCTCCGGGAGGAGGGGGAAGTGGAGGGGCAGGAGGACAGGAGGTCGACCTGGATGCCCACTGTGTGAGCGTGAGACAGAGACGGACCAGAAGGGGGAGGAGGAGGGGGAGGAGGAGAAGAGGGCCCACGCGGCCAAGAAGAGTGCCGAGGTTCCCGCGGGGTTAAGGCCATAAAACCAATGAGGCCCCAGGCGAGCCACGAGCACCTCCCCCTCCTCCCCCTCCTCCTCCCCCTCCTACTCCCCCTCCTCCTCCTCCGTCTCCTCCTCACCGTGATCCTCCTCCTTCTTCTTCTTCCCGACAACATCGAAACACGAAGGCCGCAGCGAGGCCGCCTGAAGTCTGCGGCCCTGCTTTGCCATCGCCGCCACCAAGCCACCTGTGGGCCCCCACGCGCATCCCAGCCCCGGCAGTGGCCCACACAGAGCGCCTTCCCTTCCATCCGCCCCGCTCCGACATCACCCGAGTGTGTCGCACGGCCGTCTACGTTTTGCACCTGTTTTGCGGCCCGCGCCACCCGGGAGATGTCCAAGGCCATGTTGAGGGTTTCGTTTCGGCCGCCGGCGCCGCTCCACTCTGGACATGCTTAGCCTGCCGGTGGCCAGTGATGATGTCCACGAGAACATGTCCAATTCACGTTCGGTATCCTTGTTCTTGGACCTCATCAAGGATGGGCACGCGATTGGTGTGTTCGCGGGCCCGCCACGCGCGACGTGGTTAGCAGCTCGGCCCTGTTTTCTAAGAGCGCAGAGCGGCCCGCGCCCTGTTAGATCCATCAGTATTGTCTGGGAGGCCCCCACGAGCTCTGCGGCGGAGTGGAAACATCTCGACCTGGGCAACGCGCTGTACAGATCGAGTCTGACTTTCATGTATGCCTGCTATATTCTTGGAGCGGCCGGCACTTTTGCACACCCCGCGCCTCCTTCGGACCCCCTGGCCCCCTCCAGCTGATTTCTGCCAGAGACAGTACATCTGCGTGCCCTGGGCAGGCAAGACCCCAGCGGTAACTTGGACTTTGTCTGGGTCGATTAGTGCGAGTTCGCGGCGACCGCGGTCGAACCCACCCAATTCTTACTGGTCGGTCGGCCCTTGTTTCGCCAGGCTCTGTCCGGCCTCCCGCGCGGGGGGCGCTGTTCCCACAGGCAGCTCAAGCAGTAGCCCGCACGGAGCTGCCAGCGACGGCTTGGTCGAGGACCTCCGAGCAGCGTAATCCGAGCACTACAGCTCGGAGCTGTGCGCTTCTATAGCGGCGCAGCTGTTCCAAGCTGCCAGATCTCGGCTGCCGGAGGCGGCCAGGGTGCCTTCTTCTGGCGACGGCGCTGCTACTAGGGAGGATCTCGCACCCGTCTACCTCCCTCTGAACTCTTGGCTTCAATGCTCCCTCCCCTCCCCTCCCTTCTTGGCTGGGCGCGCGTTCGCTCGAGTCCTCACGCCTGTCTGTGGGGATCTGGAGGGATGTGGAGTTAGTAGATAGAGCAAGGGGGTACTGTGCAAACTCTGGGCAAGAAACTACCCGCGGCCAGTGGTTCGACTGCCGCGGCCGCGCTGCTATCCATTGCGGCGCCGGCGCCAGCTCATGTTTCATGTGTATCCTTGCTAGTTTTTTCTTGATGGGGAAAGCGGCGCGGTGTCGCAGCAACTAATCAACACTTGCAGTAGCTTGACGGCGGGTGATAAGGGACAGTTTGGTGAAAGGGGCAGGAGGAGTGGAGAGCGGTATTTGTCACCCGGGTGTGCGCAGCACCTAATCAACTCTCCCAGTAATGGGAAGGGCACCGGGTGTGCGCAGCACCCAACCAACCCTCGCAATACCCGTTGTTTGTGCTGTTCCTCCTGCTCCTCCTCCTCCTCCTCCTCCTCCTCCTCCTCCTCCTCCTCCTCGTCCTCCTCCTCCCCGTCCTCCTCCTCCTCGTCCTCACCCCACCTTCTCCAACTCCTGCCTCCTCCCGCCTCCTCCCTATCCTCCTTCCCCCCCTTCCTCCAACTCCTCCACCTCATCCTTCTCCTCCTCGTCCTCCTGCCAGTCGCTTCATGTCCTTCCTTCTCCACGCCCTCCCCCTGTCACCGCTTCTCCCCCATCTCTCCTGTTTTTCTGTCTTCTCCTCCCTTCTCCTCCTCCCCGGGACCTCGCGGGGGGAAGTTTTCTTCCTGGCTGCAGCGAGTGGGCCAACCCGCCCGCAAGCGTCCGCCCAACAAAGATAGAGCCGTGCACGAACGATACCTCACAGACTGGGAACCTTGGGGACTAGCTCGTATCTGTGGTGACAGCGAGAGAGGGGAAAGACAAAACGAAGAGAGGAGGATAAGAGGCACACTGAGGAGGAGCACGGGCCCACGTCAGTGGCCAAGTACTCTCTGCTAGGCCAAAAATACCTGTTAGCTGTCCTAGGCCGAGCTCTCTTCCCCCACACTGGGAATGTAGGAGGACGTGGCATGGCCAGGAATGGCACGAGAGAAGCATACTGAAGGAGGGGAGCTAGGCACGTCGTCCCGATGCATATTGAATGAGGCAAGCAATCAAGATTCCCTCAGAGACTCCGCACTGGGGGGTAAGAGGAGAGGAAAACGCGATGTCGCGAGATGAGAGAGAAGAGGTCTGGGTCTATGAGAGGAGAGAACGTGTATGGCCCATGGGCCTGTGCTTGCTGCAAATAATGAAAGCACGCAAACCAAACAACACATGCGAGCCCTCGTGTAGGCCTGTAGGACTGCACGGCATAACAAGCGGGACCTGATTCCCCAAGTAGGGAGAAGCCGCTTTGTCAAAACAAGAGAAACGTTGAAGGGGAAACGAACAGGGTAAACATGATTGACTGTGCTTATCCCTCGAATAAACGCCACGGTCACGGAGCCTATCACCAGCCATGTCTCAACACGTACCCTGGCGACGTACCCAACCCCTGCGCAATGCGGGGCATGAGTAGCTTGGGGGACGTTATACGGAGGCAATGACGTGACATGTGCGAAATCCCGCTGATCTGCGTGGTGCTTCACTCCGCTGGACCCGCCACCAGCCTACGAAAGTAGCAACAATTTCGCAGATCGCAGCCCCCCAAAGATGGCGAGGTCCGCTCAGATCTGTGCGGTGCCTCATTCCGCTGAACCCGCCAGCAGCCCTTGAAAGTGGTGACCGGTTCGCAGATCGCAGCCCCCCAGGGACGGCGAGGTCTCGCTCAGATCTGCGCGGTGCCTCACTCCGCTGGACCCACCAGCAGCCCTCGAAAGTGGTGACAGTTTCGCAGATCGCTATGCTGCCCCCCAAGCAGCCCTCGAAAGTGGCGACAGTTTCGCAAATCGCAGCCCCCCAAGGATGGCAAGGTCTAATTCGTGTCCGCGGCGGCTACCCACTATGCTCCCCCCCCCCAGCAGCCATCGAAAGTGGCGACACCTTCGCAAATCGCAGCCTCCCAGGGATGGCGATGTCTGATTTGGGCCCGCGGCGGCTACCACCTACTATGCTGACCCCGCAAAAAAAGCCCTCGAGAGTGGCGGCATATTCGCAAATCGCAGCCCCCCCCCCCCCCAAAGGATGGCGAGGTCTAATTTGGGCCAGCGGCGGCTACCACCCACTATGCTGTTCACCCCAAGCAGCCCTCGAGAGCGGCGATAACTTCGCAAATCGCAGTCCCCCCAGGGATGGCGAGGTCTAATTTGGGCCCGCGGCGGCTACCACCCGCTATGCTCTCCCCCACGCAGCCCTCGAGAGTGGCGACCGATTCGCAGATCGCAGCCCCCCAGGGATGGCGAGGTCGAAGTTGGGTCCGCGGCGGCTACCACCTACCATGCTGCCCCCCCTCAAAAAAGCAGCCCTCGAGAGTGGCGACAGATTCGCACATCGTCGTCCCCCCAGGGATGGCGATGTCTGATTTGGGTCCGCGGCGGCTCCCACCCACGATGCTGTCCCCCCCAAGCAGCCCTCGAGAGCGGCGACAGATTCGCAAATCGCAGCCCCCCAGGGATGGCGAGGTCTAATTTGGGCCCGCGGCGGCTACCACCCACTATGCTGCTGTCCCCCCCAAGAAGCTCTCAAGAGTGGCGACATATTCGCAAATCGCAGCCCCCCAGGGATGGCGATGTCCTATTTAGGCCCACGGCGGCTACCCACGATGCTGCCCCCCCCCCAGCAGCCCTCGACAGTGGCGACATATTCGCAACTCGCAGCTCCCCAGGGATGGCGAGGTCAAAGTTGGATCTGCGGCGGGTGCCCACTATGCTGCCCCCCCAGCAGCCCCCGAAAGTGGCGACATATTCGCAAATCGCAGCCCCCCAAAGATGGCGAGGTCTGCTGTTGATCTGCGGCGTGTACTCACTATGCCGTCCCCCCCGCAACCCTCGAAAGCGGCGACAGATTCGCAAACCGCAGCGCCCCAGGGATGGCGATGTCTAAGTTGGATCTGCGGCGGGTGCCCACTATGCTGTCCACCCCCCCAGCAGACCTCGAGAGTGGCGACAGCTTCGCAGAACGCAGCTCCCCGCAGGCAAGATGCACACACAAGCGGCAATTACGCACAAGGCAAAAATGAGACAAGAAGGAGGCGGTGCAAGGCGGCACAAGAGGCCCCCAAGACGGATCCAAGAGGGGGCCCAGAAGGGGGACGCGAACGGACATTTCGAGCCCTCGAATCCGAGAGGCCGCCAGAAGGCCCCAAGAGGCTCCGAAGAGGACCCAAAGAGGCCCCAAAAGGCTCCCAAGAGGCCCTCGGGAAGCGCCAAGAGGCCCCCTAAAGGCTCCCAAAAGATCCTCCAGAGGCTCCCAAGAGGCCCCCAAGAAGTCCCAAGATGCCCTCAGGAAGCCCCGAAAGGCCCCCGAGAGGCTCCCAAGAGGCCCTCCCGAGGCTCCCAAGAGGCTCCCGAGAGCGCCCCGAAGAGACCCCAAGAAGCATCCCTGAAGACTCTGACCCACAACCTCGGCACGGTAGCGGGATGGGTCGACGGCCATCACATAACGCAAGGTCATGGGCAAGTATGCTTAAACGTGTGAGGAATAAGAGCGTAGCGATGGAATGACCTGGCATCTATCTATGGGCACTGCCTGGTGATAAAAAAGATAACAGTCATAGATATACCAAAATTTTGTCTGCTCGCCATTCCACGGCGATGGCTACGTCATCCCTTCCCCTCCGCTGGGAAGGCTCAAATGGATCCTTGCCGGAAGCAGTCCAAGTGCCAGGGGGAGAATAAGCAACGGAGAAGGTAGAGGGCAACCAAGACTGCAAAGCAGCTAAGTAAGAAAGACCGTGTAATCCAGGGAGATGTTGTCTCTGCTGGTCGAGGTTGCCTACGGCTCCAGAGAGTCAACCCAGCGAAGCATTAGCATCAATGACAATACTGATGGGTCCACGAGGGAGTTGCTTAATTTTGTGAGACAGTGACGTCCATCATGCCTTAAAACCAAAAGGGAGGCAAGGAAATGAGGAGAGTTACCTATCAGAACGTACACGTTGAATCTATGCATGGTCCGGGTGGATGGTAATTGAAATCGGACTTGGGGGGAGTAGGTGGTAATTCTTGCGGTTTTTGGTGTAAAGGCTCGGGAGCTTGCCCACGAGAAAGCCCCTGACCACCAAGCTATTGTCTCATAGTGCGCGTCCAGTATCATTTCGGGGGGCACTAGCTTCTGATAGGAGAGCAGCCTGCAGCGTTGGACTGTCGGAGTTTCTCTTCCAGCATGCGAACGAGCCAATGAAACAAAGCTCCTGCTGAGCAAATGAGGGAGGAGGGAGGAAGGAGGAGGGGGGCGTCAGAGGGTTGGACAGGCTATTGCTGGTTAGAGGAGGTATGATCAATGAAAGGGGCCGGGGGAACTCCATGGGAGAGAGAGAGATAGAGAGAGAAAAAAAAAAAGAGAGAAGGTGGTCCTCCTGGTCCTGCGCCCTCCTTTTCAGAAGAAAGGGGCAGGCACTCAGGCAGGTTGCAGCCCTGCAGACAGAGAAAGAGAGATCTGGAGGAGGTGGAAGAAGGGTGGGGTAACCAAGGAAGATGAGAGAGGGCGGAACAAGGGATCATGGAGAGAGGTGGTGCAAGGACGGAAGAAATGAGATAATGGATGAGGAAGCCCCGGCATGAGGAGGATAACTAATTCTGCGGGCTCGGAGGAGGACAGCGCAGAAGGAAATGGAGGAGCAGGAGGGGGAGGAAGAGCAAGGGAAGGAGGAGGAGGAGGCAGACGTACCTCCCAGATTACGTTCTGGCCGCGGAAGTGCGATATCGTGGCTTTGGCATAGGCTACGTAAGCGTCCCTGCACATGGAGCCGCCGCTGGGATACCTTCTCTTCCTACTGATGCGCGTCCGCCTCGTCCTCCTCCTCCTCCTCCTCCTCCTCCTCCTCCTCCTCATCGTCCTCTACTTTTGCCTCCTCTTTCAGCTCCTCACACTTCCACTCATTTCACGATCCTCCTTACCATTATCACACAGATCCTCATCTTCAAAATCCTCAGTCGACCGAAGGCTCGGAGGACAACTCCTAATCCACCCCCTCCTACCTCCTCCTCGTCGTCTTCTTCCTCCATCCTCCGGCTCGTGGAACCCCCTCCTAGACTGTCCTCCTCCACATCGAAGCCCCTCCTCCTCCTCCTCCTCCTCCTCCTCCTCCTCCTCCTCCTAATTACTCTTCCATTGTCTGGCTCATGGATCCACCTCCTGGCATCCACCTCCACCTCGAACCTCATCCGACTCCTGCTGCTCCTCCCCCCCCCTACTCCTTCTGCTCGTCCTCCCCGCTCCGTGTTCCCTCGCCTCAGCGGTGGCGCTCTGGGGCTCGGAGGCGCTGGCCCGGACACCTTCCGCAGCCGTACAGCTCGTTCCCGCAGCACAGCGACGCGACGACGCCGACGCCCTGCCCTTTGAGCCGGCCGACGACGTGGTCGTACTTGGCGAAGTCGTAGGCGCCCTCTCCGCACGCCCACTCGAGGATGACGAGGCAGGGGAGGAGGCAGGAGAACGGCCCGCGCCAGACAACGTCGGTCCGACGCCAAAGGAGGCAGGAGGGGGCGAAGGAGGAGCGAGGAGGGAGCCAGGCGGGGGTGGAGGAGGACGGAGCAGGGAAGAGGAGGGAGGGAGGAGGCGTGGAGGGAGGAAGGGCGCCGCGGGCGCCACGCATCGAAGGGGAGGGGGGCGGACGGCTCGCCCGCAGGCCTCCAGAAGTCCCCGGAGGACCCGAAGGAACGGCCAGGAGGCTTCGAGAACACACGAGGCTGCCGAACAACACTCGTGGAAGAAGAAAAAGAAAAACGTATCATCGACGCGCGAGTTCTTGTGCTGATCCCTGCATTTCGTTTCAAGATTCGGGGCGTGCTCGAAGGATACACGTTTCGCCCTTGGAACGGCCCCTGAAAAGCGACACACCCACACGTCGTACTCTTGGCAGCTGGGCAAGCAAAAACAAAAAAGTGGGGGTCGCTGCTCTGCCAGAATGGACCACTTGAACAAAGGCCGAAGATACCGCGGCTCCAGATTGGCGATGAATGGGCGAAGGGTTTCAAACTCAAGCGCGAGGGCGCGCCGGCCTTCTCCTCCTCCACGGCGGCCCAGGACACCACCACGCGGGCGATGGAGAACACGCCCGCCAGCTCGGCTTCATCGCCCGGCTCGAAGGTGCTGACGTCCAGGCCAACGCCCCAACGGTGAGAGCCCATGGACCGCAGCCAGGCCACCCGGTCTGCGCGCATGTCAGCGGCCTCCTCCGACCTCAAGAAACGGACGACGTCTGCATCCTGTTTAGATCCGCCACCGTGCCCTCGAGCCCGAGTTGGATTGTCCTCAGGTCCCTTGCTCGATCCCGTGAGCCTCAGTCCTCGCTCCTGAGGAGTCTTTAAGGGCCCCTGACCCCAAACTCTCAAATCTCCTGCGGCTTTGCGCGGTTCCATTGGCTCTCCCGAGTGGTGGCGCATACCTCTTTCGGGGCCAAGAGGGGCCCAAGACGGGCCAAGAAACCTCCAAGAGCCCGCCCTGACGCTCCATGGGTGCTCCGAGTCGCTCCACGATCGGTCCAAGACGCTCAAGGTGGCTCCAAGATGTCCCAAGACGCCTTCGAGACATCCCTCGGGAGCTCCAAGAGCCTTCCTAAGAAGGCCCCGATATGCAACAAATTACAGAGTTCCCATCGGCTCTTCAATGTTTTTGGGGTTCTCGATTTTTCGAGCTTCCGACGCTCAAGACGTCCCACGAGGCCCCCAATACCGCCTCAAGACGGCACAAACGGCCCCCAGGAGGGCCACAAGAGGTACCCAAGACGGCACAAGAGAGCCCCAAGACTGCCCCAGGAGGGACCCAAGAGTGGGCACCCGAAGCGACAATTCGAGCCTTCCGACCCAAGATGCCCGCAGGAGGCCCTAAGAGGTCCCCAAGAGGTCTAAGAGGTCCCCAGGAGGCCTCCAAGAAGCCCCAAAAGGCCCCCAAGAGATTTCAAACCTGCCTCCACGAGGCCCCCGAAAGGCCTCTCGCTTCATCCCAGCGAACATCCTAGAAGTCCACGACCCACAACACACGCATGGGGGCGGGATGAGCCGAAGGCCATTCGATCCGCCGCACCCTGTGACTTGCCACAGGGGTGCACGGCGTTCCAGGCGTCTGGCAGATCTTGAAAAACGGTTCTGAACACTTCCCCGTGGGGTCTCGGGCCAACCCGCCGGCCGTGCGGAAAGCCCAGTCCCCATTAGCCGCATCGCGTCCAAGACGGCCAAGATGGCCTCCAAGACGGCCAAGATGGCTCCAAGGCGGCCAATATGGTATATGGCCTCCAAGACTGTCTCATCAAGACGCCATGAAGACCGCTAAGATGGCCCGAGTGCGTTCCAAGATGTCCTGTAGACGGCCCGAGCGGCGGCCCCTCAGACGCCCCAGGAGGGCTCCAAGAGGATCTCCAGGATGCCAAGATCATTGATTCTCCTCAGGTGTTGTCCATGTTTCCAGTGTTCTCGCCTCTTCGGGCATCCGACCCTGCAAGACGGCCCAAGAGGCCCCCGAAACGGTCCAGGACGGTCCCACGACGGCCCCAGAGACCTCTAAGACAGCTAGCGCGCCCAAAGGGCGACCCACGACGGCCACGAGGGATCAAGACGGCCTCTGAAGGCCATGAGGACCCTGAGACGCCCTAAGAGCGCTCCAAGAGGATCTCCAGGATGCCAAAAGCATGGATTCCCTGCGGTTTCTCCAGCATTGTGGCGTTCTCACATTTTCGGGCTTCCGACGCTCCACGACAGGCCCAGAGGCCCCATGGATCGCCCCAAGACAACTCAAAAGACCACCAAGAGGCCGACAAAACGGTCCGAAAGGGCCTTCAGGCAACCCAAAAACCCCGAAGACGGCCCCAGGGCTTCCGACGCTCCAAGACAGGCCCATGGGCCCCCCAAATTGCCCAAAGACGGCCCAAGATGCCTCGAAGAGGCCCGCAAGACGGCCCAATATGGCCCTGAGTGAGCCCAAGAGGCCCAAGACGGCCCCAGAGACCTCAAAGACGACCCTAAAGCAGATCCCAAGACGGCCCTCGAAGGCCAAGAGGTCCCATAGAGGCACCCAGGAGGTCTTAAGAGGGTCTCAAAAGGCCTCCTCTTCTTTTTTCTCCTCCTTCTCCTCCCTCTCCTCCCTCATTCTCTTCCTCTCCCCAGTGTTCCCCCAAGGGTTTCCACAACGGCTGGGGGAACACATAGTCCAATAGTTTCGCCAGACTTCGGCCCAAAGCCTGGCCGCATGGGCGTTGCCAACAGGCAGGAGGCAGCGGTGATTCGCCGTAGGCGTCCTGGATAAGAAAGACACCAAAAACTGCATAAGCGCAAACCTTTGGAGGCCCACGCGGATTCCTCGGGTCGGCGCCGGACCCTCCGGCGCCGCCCGCGGCGAGCTCCGCCCGCCAGGAACGGAGTGCCCAGCGCTGTCCCGAGAAATCCGTGTGGCCCTCCGAGAGTTCGATGCTTGTTCAGCTCTTGCGGATTGTTCGATCCTTCGGGCGCAGGCTCGTCGCCGCAGCAGCGGGCAGCCACGGGGGCGCGTCCGTGGTGGCCGCAGCGGGAGGCGGGGTAGGCACCGCGGTGTGCACAGTCGTGGGTACGGCCGTCGGCGCCGGTGTGGGTGCCACGGTGGCGGCGACCATGGGCGTTCCTGCGGCGTCCACCTCGGAGTCTGGGACGAGGTAGACGGGGAAGGAAGAGACGTGCATCTTCACCTTGCCGCCCTCGGGGCAGGCGGTGTGGACGATCTTGGAGCAGCCGTCGCAGTCCCACTTGCCCAAGTTCTGGCCCAACAGGCCGACAACCTTCATGCACTCCTTCAAGGGTATTTCCAACGACATGTCACCCTCTTGCTTGACGGTCCAAACGGCGTACTTGTCGTACTGCCCGTCTGGGTCATTGCGGTGCCTGTACCTCAAGCAGAAGATGCCGTCAGCATCACATGGGTTGTTCACGTAGACGAGGCTGCTCAGCAACGACTGCAACGTCATCGCTGCCAGGTACGAAGGCTTGGCATACGTGTGGGGCTCCCTGGTGTAGTCGGCATTGTACAGCGTGGCCCCGAAGTTGTGCTCTGCGTTCATCGGCTTGTCGCCGTCGTTCTTCCAGTCGTACCAGATGCTGAACGAGATGCCAACCTTGTCGTTGATCAGCCACTGGCGCGCGAGCCTCGCGGCCTGCTCTGGTCCAGAGATGACGTCGCCAGTGCCGCCCCCACCCGGCGGGCACGACTCGGGGAGCCCGCCCATTGGGTGACCACAGGTGGCCCAGCCCCACTCGCTGCTGACGAAGGGGACATTGGCGACCAACGGGTAACCTTCGAGCCTATGCCTCAATTCTTTCCACGACTCAATCACACTTTCGGGCCCGTCTCTCCGATACGGGTGTGCAGAGATGGCGTCGAACCGATCCAGGCCGCCGACGTTGCCCGTGGAACAGATGAAATCTACGTCGACCCCTGAAGTGGCGGGCCCAATAACTACCTCGTTGGCTATGGCTGGATCCCCTCGCACGCGCTTCATTACGTTGTTGACCAGCGCGGGATATTCTCTCTTGGTCTCCTTCCTGAGCCGCCCCCAGTCCGCCCAGAAGCCGTTCGGCTCATTGTAGAATTCCCAAATAATGCCATGGCCCGCGAAGTGCGCCATCGAAGTTACCGCGTAGTTGGTGAACGCCTCTTGACACGAAGGTGTGCGTGGATGATCTTTGCAGCCGTATAGTTGGTTCCCGTAGCAGAGGATAAACAAGGGCTGGAGGTCGTTGTTCTCCATATCCGCCAAGAGATCCTCGAGAAGGAAAACAAGAGTCGGTAGGAATACGAGGAGGATGGAGATTAGGACAGAGTGCAACACGGTCCTCGTATTGCTTGAAGTCGAATGTGCCCTTGGCCTTCTCCACGCGGTGCCAAAACAGGTCGATACGCACCGTCTTGAAGGCCTCTGGAGCGCCCTCCTGACCACACCCCTCTTCCCTCGACTGACGACCTCGGGGGTCTGGGCAGAAGCGCACAGAGAAGCAGGCCCTGGCGACAGGGGGGGGGAGGGGGAAACAAGCGGGGGGCGGGGGGGAGGAGAGACGGCGAGGGGGGAACGAGGGGCAGTGAAGCGAGGGGGAGGAAGGGGGTCAGCCACGAGCGCTCGCGGCACACCTGGCACCCGCCACGCCCTCGGGCGCCCGCGCCGCCCCGCAAGGACGGGCGGGGGAGCCCAGAGGCAGGGCATGCCCCGGGTGGGCGCAAGGGCGGCCTGCGGCGCGGGCCACACCCCGCAGGGCAGCGGGCGGCGGGCACCCTTCCGCTGGGGCTGGGACTCTGCGTCTGGGTCGTGCTGGTCTTCTTCGTCGTCGTCGTCTTCTTCGTCGTCGTCTTCGTCTTCTTGCTATTACTATTTTTCTCGTCTTCTTCTTCTTCTTCTTCTTCTATCTCTTCTCCGCCCGCCGCTCTCCGCAGAAAGGCGGCCTCCGCGGCGCGGCCGCGCGGGCGGCCCGAGGCGCCCGCGGCGCTGCCAGGGGAGGCGCGCGCGGCGGCGGAGGACGCACCGCCCGCTGCTGGGTGCTCTGCTGCCCTTTGCTCCTCGCCCGTCTGCGATCCTCGACTGGTCGCGCTGCAGCTCGGAGCGCGCCAAAGGGGCGAGCGGCGGCGCCCGAGTAGAGACAGCGCTCGGCGAGCGCCAGCTGGCAGCGTGGCGCGAGCAGCGACGACGCCGTGGCGGCGACGCCGTGGCGACGACTCTTGAGATGAAGGCGCAAGTGCGAAGGCAAATACTTTCGGAGGTCCGCGCGGATCTCTCGGACCGGCGCTGGGCCCCATGGCGTCGCCTCCGGGCGCGTCAGCGAGGGGGGGCCCAGCGCCGACCCAAGAGACCCGCACGGACCTCCGAGAGTCGAAACCTGATGTTTGTGCAGTCTTGTCTGCTTCCGCCCCAGAGGACGCTCCGAGAGGGCGCCCCAGAAGCCTCGACTCTCGAGGCCCAGCCTTGGGCAGGAGGGCGTCTCCCAAGGCCCAGAGAAGGCCCAGAGCGCCCCAAGAGCCTCGATCGTCGAGCCGCGGAGGAGGAGAAGGAGGAGGAGGAGGAGGAGGAGGAGGGGGAACGGGAGGGCGCGCCGCTGATGACCTTGGAAGGGAGCGCCGCCATGAGCCGACGAAGGCCCACCCACCCTCGGATGCGCCGAAGAAAGGGGGCCCGGCAGAGGGAGGTGAACGCATCATGGCACGAGGCATGTGCGCGGACGCGGCGGAGTCCAGAGGCCAGGGGCCACGCAGTCTCGGAGGTACCATGACCCCAGCGATGACATCCACGCTCCTCTAGTCCTGGGACCCCCCTTGCTGGGGGTGAGGAGGCGTGGGAGGCGTCGCGCGACAGCACCCTTTGGAACGGCCGAGGGCGCTCCGAGCAGAACAGTATACGGGAAACATCAAGTCATGACATGCTGAGCGTGAGGAATCATAAAGACGGAAAAGCGGGAGTTCCGCTGCACGCTGTCGGGGGATAGTGATCCTTAACGGGCTGCTGCTTGTGCCAGGTGTGAATTGGGGGAAGCCTGGGAGAAAGGCGGGTCACCAAGATGTGCATGGGGGGAGGGAGAGTGGAAGAAACAGAGGGATGGCGAGGTCCAAGTCGCTCGGAGACCTTCTCCAGAGGTACCCCTCGCCAGAGGTCCCTGGGGGGCTCAGGACACCTCTGGGGGCCCAAGAGGGAAAAACAGCGTCCAAGCGCAGATCGATCCACGATCATCTCAAGGGGGGGGGCGGGGGAGGACTGGACGGGCGCTGCAGGAGGCAGGGCGGCCTTCGCGAGCGCCGCCATCTCTGCCGGGTGGGAGCCCGTGAAGTGGATGTTCACGCCCCACCTCGAGGCCACAAATCCCACCAGCCCTGTGGGCGGAGGTGGTTAAGTGCGCTTCCTCTTCCAACCCTCTTCTCCCCACTAATCCCCAAACCCTGGACATGGAGGTGGCGGGGCGGCGAAGTGTCAGAGAGTCCAAGAAGACCTCGGCGAAAAGGCAGAACGCATGGATGCTCTATGAGTTTTGAGCCCAATTCCAGCCTCCTCGGGGGGGACCCGTGTTGAGAACCAACCCTTTTTTGATCGAACTCTTCCAAGACGGCCCCAAGATAGCCCCCGAGGCTCCCAAACGTGCCCCGAGAGGGCCGAAAGAGGCGACCAGAAGGCCCCGAAGAGATCCCCAAGAGACGCCCAAAAGGCTCCCCCGAGTCACCTAAGACGATCCAAGAGGCCCCCTAGACGCCATAAGAGACCTCTCAGAGGCCTCTGGCCTGTCTGCTCGCTTTCCACCTCCCTTCATCCACCTCATCCTCCTCCTCCTCATCATCATCCTCCTCTTTCTAATCCTCATCCTCATCCTCCTCATTCTCCTCCTCGTCATCGAACTCCTCCTTCAACTCCTCCTCCTCCTCCTCCTCCTCCTCCTCCTCCTCCTCCTCCTCCTCCTCCTTCTCTCCCTCCCCCCCCCTCCTCCCTCCTCCTCCTCCTCCTCCTCCTCCTCCTCCTCCTCCTTCTTGTGCTCCTCTTTATCCGCTCTAGACGCCCCAAGAGACCTCGAAGAGGCCTGTGGCCTGTCTGCTCGCCCTCCTCCTCCCTTCATCCACCTCCTCCTGCTCCTCCTCCTCCTTCCTCCTCCGCCTCCTCCTCCTGCTCCTCCTCCCCCTCCTCCTCCTATTCCTCCTCCTCCTCGTCCTCCTATTCCTTATCCGCCTCCTCCTCCTCCTCCTCCTCCGCCTCTCCCTCCTCCTCCTACGCCTTCACCTCCATTTTCTCCTCCTCCTCCTCCTGCTCACTCTGTCTCCCTCCCCCCTCACCTCTCTTCGCATACACTGCCGATAGCTTCTACTCATTTTCCTCATTCTCCTCCTCCTCCTGCTTCTCTTCCTGCTCCTCCTCCTCGTTTCTTCCTCCTCCTCCTCCTCCTCCTGCTTCTCCTCCTCTTTCTCCACGTTATCCTCCTCCTCCTGTTCCATGCCTTTTCCTTGTAAGTAACTGCTCCCTGTCGCACCCCGAGGCCAGTGTTTTAGGGCGGGCGGGGCGTTTCGCCTGAGACTTCTCCACAACTTATGACTCTGAAGCTTAAACATGGGCAGCAACTTCACAGATGCATGGCGGGCCGTTTTCAACATGCGGCTCTCGCCTTAGCGCCGCGAAGATTCGTTCTGACCGTTTGCAAAAGCTTCACGGACTGAAGGTGCGTCGTTTTCGAATTGTGGCTCTCGCCTTAGCGCGGCGCACATTCGTTTCTCACAGTTGCAAGAGTTTCACGGATTGAGGGCGGGTCGTTTTCGAACTGTGGTTCTCGCCCCAGCGCGGCGCACATCCGTTTCAACAAATTGCAAGAGTTTGACGTTGTCCCATCATCAACGTACCAACTATGGTGTTTTGAAAGGATTCAAGACTATGTGGGTGCAATAGTTACGTGGGTTCGCGATGTTGAAGTCCCAAGAAAGGCGGTCTGGCACGATTCGAGATCTTCAAGACGCAGCAGTCAAGGTTGATCCGTGGCGTTGAAATCCCGAGAACAATGTTTTGGCATGCTTCAGGGTCTTCAAACGGTTGTCTTCCAACGGGGCAGTTTCCGCAATGGAAATGAACCGAAATGACAGAAAACCAGAGCCCTGGCAAACTCGAGCCTTGCATTTCTCCGAATGCAGCTGGTTGTCCCGGCGCCTCCTGGCGCCAGAAGCGCCAATGTCTGAGAAAAGCATCTGGCGGCGGGGCCGAAACGAGCTGCACGCGACAGATGCTGAACCCCCCCGCCTTTTCATATCCCCCCTTTCGTCACACGTTCCTGCGATCCCTGGCCGCCTGTGGGCTCCCATGTCCTTCAGACGTGCCATCCGCACCTGATATGTGCGCGGGCTTTCGGATGGTTTGCACACTGGTGCGGGGCGGGAACGAGGAGGAAGGCATGGCGGCGGAGGGTGGGGGACGCCAACAAGGGTGGGCAGGGGGAGAGGGATGAGGACGACGAGAACGTGGACGCGGACCAGGACGATGGGGGAGGAAGGCGGCGGGAGGAGAGAGAGGGGACAAACGCAGAGGGGGCGCTGGAATGGAGGACTCAAGGTAGCCAGGTCGAACGTACCAGCGGGCCATGCCAATTCCCACCTTCCATCCCATAACATAACAACCAATGGTGGCGCAACTTGCGATTTGGACATGCGCTTTCCCCACACAGTAACGGGAGGAAGGCGTTCGCACGCGGTCCCGACTCCGACGACGTGGCGAACGAAACAACAACGGGCGGCGCGCAGGTGAGAGCATTTACGACAATTAGTTGCGCGTCGCAGCGGCGAGAGCCGAGAGCACCATGTAGCCCGTTCTCGCGAGGCCAAATTCCCAATCAGCGCGGCCAAGACGGAGCGTGCGCCGCGCCGAAGCAACACTACCCGCTCACTTCCTCCCGAAATCTGCGCGACCCTTTCCGGCGAAAGCAACGTCTCGCACGCTCTCGCGCGGCCACGCTGCCGCTGCCACTTCCCCGCGACTCAAAAACCCCAGGGCATGCGCGGCGCAAGAGCGAAAGCGCCGCCTCCAGGCGACTGCACGAATCTGGGGCGATGGCGACACTTCGCCCGCTCGCGCGCAGCCCCGCCCACAACCACAGAAAGAATAACAAATATGCGCCTCGCCCAAGCGGGATTGCCGCGTTCAGGGGAACTCCGCGCGGCGCCCAAGCCAGTGCGACGTTTCGCTCACTCGCGAGCGGCCCCGTCATCGGCAAATTGGCAAGCACAAAACGTGCGTCGCGCCCATGAAGGAGCTCAATTCTCAGGAGAGTGGGCGCGGCGCCACGGCAACCACGACATGTCGCGTTGTCGTGCGCGGTCTGCGGCCCTTCCCACTCCCGTCAAGCATTTTGCAACGTCGGCGGCAAAACGTCCGCGTCGAGAGGAATATCTCCGACGTTGTATGGTTGCTTGCGGTTCGGCTTCGGACCCCCAGATGACACCGCTATCGGCTGGCCAGCCAGCATGTTGCAACATATGTGAACAAGGTATGAAGAAGAGAGGACGGCTCTTGACGGCACCGGCGCAGGCCTCCCCCTCCTCCTCCTCCACCTCCTCCACCTCCTCCACCTCCTCTACCTCCTCCTCTTCCTCCTCCTCCTCCTCCTCTTCCTCCTCCTCCTCCTCCTCCTCCTCATCCTCCTCCTCCTCTTCCTCCAGTCTGAGCGTTTCTCGTCCGCCTCCCCCCCTCCCCGTCCTGCCCCTCCTCCTCCCCGTCCACCTCCTGCTCCCGCATACCCCCAGTCCTTCCACTCCTCCTCCTCCTCCCCCTCCCGTTGCGCCGAATGCCAACCGCGGCCATGGCGGACCCGCTTGCCGTGAGGGGGCTGACCTGAACTTTGGTCCCTCAATGTCTTGGCCCTCCACGTCCTCCCCCGTGCCCTTCCTGTAATCCTGTAATGCTGTAGTCCTTCGGCGCAACTGTCTGGCCCCCGCAAACTGCGCGGCACGCTCGGACAGGGGGCAAAAAGAGGCGGGAGAGGGGGGGGCGAAGAGTCGGCCCGCAACAGAAAGGAGAAAAGGACCGCTGCCTCGCGGCCTGAGTCCTCGGCCAGCCCCACGACGCCCGCCTCTGCGACGCGCGAGCGGTGCCGTCCTCGCCGCCAAGGGGGAGGAGGAAGAGGAGGAGGGCGGACGAGACTAGATGAGGAGGAGGAGGAGGAGGAGGAGGAGAAGGAGGAGGATTCTTTCGCTCCGCCCTGGCGAGCGGTCACCGCGCGCGCGCGCCAGCGTCTCCGCGCGCGACGGCGGGGCAGACCCGCCGCTGGGCGCGAGTGGGCCGACGCGCCGCGCTCAGGAACAGGGCATCGGGCCGCCGAGAGGCGGCGCAGCCAACGAGCGCTGGGGGGGGGCAAGACAGCCCAGCCCCCGCAGCGCGCGTATAGGCGGCCGCGCAGCGCGTGCGCCATCAGCCTCAGAGCGGCCGGGAGGGCAGGGGGGCCGAATCACTGCAGAGACCGCGGGGGGGAGTCGCATTTGATCAAAGGGAGCATCCTCTCGCTCCGGCCTTGCGAACGGTCTCCGCGCGAGCGCGCCGGCGCCTCCGCGCGCGACGACGGGGCAGACCCGCCGCCGGGCGCAAGGGGGCTGGCGCGCCGCGCTCTGGAGCAGGGCCCCTGGCCGCCGAGAGGCGGCGAAGCCATGCCCAGGCTCAAAGCCCTTGCGAAGTGACAAGATTTTGGCGGGCGGCCGCGAATTGGACTGACCAGGTTGACGATCCAGCAAGCAAAAAAGAGACAAGCAAGCGACTGCTGGCGGAGGCCAAGAAGAGCACTTGAGCCCTGGCGGCCTCGGAGAGAGACGCGAGGACAGTCGAAGCAGCGGCAGCTTGGAGGTAGCGCCCAGCGCTCGGCGCATGGCGTCACCTACCTCGCCATACGCAAGGGACGTCATCTGTAGCTACATGGAAATCAGTAGCACCTGAGCCCCGCAGACAACCAGGGGCCAAATTCAGTCCAGCGGCGGCTTTGGCGAGCGGAATGCTCCACGCCGAAAGACAATGGTCTCATCGAACATGGCCCCGCAGGGGGCGAGAATATCGGTGGAAGCGAGATTCCCCCCCCCCAACAAAAAAAACACGTTCGAGCAGGTCCACCGACCGACGATCCGAACACCTCGCGTACTGAGCGGGGTAGGACGGACGGGTCTTTGGCGCTGCGATGGCCAGAAAGGCGTCGCCTGTCTGCTCGGGGCGGTCCGACGGCAAGGAGAGGTCGCACCTTCTTGCCTTCGTGAGTTCTCCTGGACGCAGGAGCCCTGTTAAACCCAGGATCAGCAAGGCGGCCACGTCTGGGCACTTACAGACGAGGCGGAGGCCAACAATCGCGCAAGAGTGTGCGAGGCAACAGTGGACGAAGCTTGGGGGGCTCTGCAATCTTCTACTGTTTGGCGACGTCCCAGGCCTCTGTAAGGAACGCCTTCCAGTGGGGACGCGTTGTCAGGACGCCCAGAAGGGCATGCGCAAGGATGTAGTGGGGGAACCCAGGGTCGCGCGACCGTGCTCCGAAGGTGGCTAGCGCTCGCGCAAGGAGCACGCCACTTCGGCAAAGCGCGGTCGGAACCACACTGGTGTTCTCGACGACCCACAGCTCGAACGCGTCGACCGATCGGAATCTGCGATCGAGGAACTCGGGTCGAGAGGGCTGCGCGCCGCTCGCGCGACGCGAAGTACGGCGGCAGCCTCCACTCGTCGACCCCCGACCGAGACGCGGTCTCAGCGCGCTCCGCGGCGAAAGAATCGCCAGTCGCGTCAACGATGCCCCGCGCGATCGTCTCGATCTCCCAGGGCGCGCAGCGCGCCCTGCTCTCGATGCCGACATGCCCGCCAGAGAGGTCGGGTGAGGCACGCTGCAGATGGCTCGGTAGCCGTCGAGCAGATCCGCAGGCGCCTCTTTGTTGCGCACTGACCTGGCAGGAGCAGCTCGGCCTTCTCGGAGAGATGCACGAACAAGTCGCGCGCGCAGGCCAGGCTGGCGGCGCGACGCCGCTGGACGACGTTGTTACCCCAGCCGATGCCCCTGATCCCTCCGGCCGCCTTCTCGTCGATCTGAGCGTGCCCAGTCAGCCACGGGGGGCAGCGGCATTCATGGCAGCGGCCGCCCCGTCTCCGAGAGAGAGAGAGAGAGAGAGAGAGAGAGAGGAAACAAAAAAAAACGAAAGAAAGAAATAAAGAAATAAATAAAGAGAAATAAAGAGAGAGAGAGAGAGAGAGAGAGAGAGAGAGAGAGAGAGAGAGAGAGAGAGAGAGAGAGAGAGAGAGAGAGAGAGAGAGAGAAAGAGAGAGAGAGAGAGAGAGAGAGGAAGAACGCGCCTCCTTCGCCGAAGTGACGCCCATGACTGCACAGCACAGCGAGCAGGCAATCGAGCTCGTCTGTCTCCCGCATGCCGCAGCCAGGAGACCGCGTGTCGAAACACATATTTCCGATCTTCTGAATACTGAGCGACGGTCAGAAGCTCGCCCACCACCTCCAGCCGCCAGCCGAGCGCCGAAGCCGCGGTGGCTGGAAGGGCGGTCGGCCCTGGCGACTCGTCGCGGTCCAGAGGCCAAGGCATCGGCGCGCGAGGCAGGGCGGGGGCAGCAACGGAGGAAGCTGCTCAAGGAGCCCTGGACATTGGCAGGAGGCCAGACGCCTGCGACGCTTAGGCGGAGGCTCTGCGCGGCCAACGGGCGGCCCGCCAACTGGCTGAGCAGCGACGGCGCGAACCCCGCCCTGCGGCGGCATAGCGCCCATGCTGCAGGGGCGCATGCCAGTCGGCCCAGCACTCGAGAGGTCTCTCGATCGGCGGCGCAAGGGGGTCCTGCTGCGCGATCCCGACGGCTAAACCTCGAAGATGCCCCACCCACGACCTGGAGCGATCCCGGCTCCGGATGGCACCCGAGGACCAGGGGGGCTGCCCGCGAGAAGCGGCCTCCGCGGCCGCGTCCTGCACGGATGCCAAGGGCCGTCGGGCGGCCGGGCGATCCTGCGCAAGGCCTCATCCGAGATCCGACCCGCCTGGAAGTCGCTGACCTGGGCGGGGTAATCGGAGTCGAAGTCCGCATCGCAGGGGCCTGCGGAGCTCCCGGCGCGGGAGGCCAGGGGCGGAGCAGACTCGGCGCGCCCGCCGACCTCTTGGCCCGCGTGGCGCCTCCTGGGCGCCGGCCGCAGCCGTTGTCCACGCCCGGGTTCCTGGCGGACCTGCGGCGCTTGCCTCGCAGCGCCGCGCGGCGCCGCGTGACCTCGCGGCTGCAATCGGCGTCGTCGGCCAGCACCGCGCCCTCGCCGTCGTTGACTGCCAGGTCGTCCTCGAGGAGCCCGCGGCGCAGCCGGCCGTGGGCGTCGCTCACCTGCGCAGCCGCGCGCTTGGCCCGGCCCGTCTGGGCCAGCTGGACGTCGTCGACCACGTTGCTGACCGCCGCGGCACGGGGCGCGACGATGGCGTGAAGGCGCGGCGCCGGGAACATCCTCGCGCGGAGGTCGGCGAAACTGCATCCTGCCACCACGCCGCCCCGAGGGGCGCGGGCGGGCGCGGCCGCGCCCTGGGAGCAGACGACGCGCGGCATGCCGCGCAGCTGGAGGAGGAGGCGCAGCAGGACGAGGTTGAAGTTCATGGCCTCGCCGCGCTGGGCGAGCAACGCCAGCGGGATGTGCTCGAACGCCTTCGCGAGGTCCATGAGGGCCTTGCGCGCCGCAGGGCCGCGGTGAGACGCCGCCTCTGCCATCGCGGCCTGCGCCCGCACGCAGGTCTCGCAGCTCTGGCCAGCTGTGCCGAAGACGTAGCTGCGGTGGTGCTGCGTGGCCCACTGCGCATCCGCGGTGCCCCTGGCCCAGCGGGCGAAGGGCCGCGGGGGCACGGGGAAGAGGCCGATGATGCGGACGCCGCCCTCGGGCGTGGGAAGGGGCGCCGTCTGCGCGGCCGCCCGCGCGCGCGGCCCGTGGCCAAGGGCCGGCATCAGGCGCCGCACCTGATCGCACGCCTCCACCGCTGCGCCGGACAACAGCGCAACGTGCCGCGGGTGGCGCGCGTCGCAGCCCGGCCCTGTCGCGCGCGGGCAGGCGCGGACCACCTGGCGAAGCTCCTCGATCGGCAGGGTGGGCGACGCGCCCAGCTCAGCTGGCCATTGCACGGCCTCGAGCCCAGCGCCGTCGCCCCAGAGCACGCGCCAAGAGCGGGCGACAGCCTCGGCGACGAGCTGCGCCGACTGGATGCCCGCAGTCGGCTGCCAGCGCGCCGCGGCCCAGGGCGCGGCCTCGCGCATCCAGCAGAAACCCTTGCGCATGCCGTCGGTGGATGTGGCGTCGCGTGCCCAGTCCAGCCAGGCCTTGTAGCGTCGGTAAGACGCACGCCCCTCCGCTGCCGTCGCCGCGCGGCGGTGGTCGGTCAGCAGCTGCTCGAGATCCTCCGAGCCCAGGTGCTGGAGGCGACGTGCCAGGTTGCGCCGGGCCTGCCAGAGTTGCGGGTCAGCGCCAGCGGCTGGTGGCATGACGCGGAGGAGCCGCGCCCGCAGACGCCGCGCCTGGGTCATGCTGTCAGCCAGCTCCAGTGCTGCTCGGAGGGGTCCGGCTTGGCAGATGGCTGCCAATGGGCGCGCTGGCGGTGCAGCTGCAGCTGTGCCGAGCGGGCGCCCTCGCTCCTGCCGCGGTGGCGATCAGTTCCTCCTTCCCACGAGGCCGAAGTTCTGCGCCAGCTTTTCCTCGTAGCGGTCGAGGACGCGGCGGCAGGCCGCGTCGAGGGCGAGCGCTGCGTCGAGGGTCCCGAGGTCGTCGAATACATCCCGCCAGTCGGGGAAAGGTAGCTGCGGCCCCACCAGCGCTTGAGCGGGGCAGGGTCGCGGGCGTCGCGGGCGCGTGGCCAGCGCGCCCGGGGGCTGCTGGGCCAGGCGGAGGGCGACCGCCCAATTCGCGCGCGCCGACAAGAGCTCGCAACGATGCACCTCCTGCACCGCCGTGGCCTGGTCGACGTAGTCGAGTTCCCGGGCAGAGGGGGGCGTCGCGCAGGTGGCTTGGCCATAGCAGGTGAGCCTCGCGCCGATGGAGGGCATCAGCTGCGCCTCTCCCAGCGGAGCGGTGGCTATGTTCCAGTCGGCGCCCGCGACGAAGGGCCGTTGATCAGCCT